CAGAGAGGATGATGTAAGAAGATGTAGCAGGCACTAAACCTAATTAATCAACAGGTGAAATAAGCTGGTCAAGGACAGGCATAGAGGAAGATTGGGGTTGGTATTTAATACACCGGACAAACCAAAGGAGACAAATGAGAGAGAACCTTCTTCCAACATTAACAATGGCAACTAAAGTATGATAAAGAAAAAACGCTGCTTTGAAAAATGGTTGGAAATGATGTATTTATGACCATGAGCCAGCACTGAGAGTAGCAGCTGAGTGTTAAGACAGAGGATGGACTGTCATTGCATTAGTGAATACTGAGCATCCTGAAGCAAGTTAAATGCAAGAATAAACTTCAACACACATCAAACCCGCAACACCAACATGATAAATTCTAGTCACAATATTGACGAACCAAGTCAGCAGCTACACATGCAATGCACACCTATCATCCACTCACCTTTGCGATCAGGTTTGAGATTTCGGTCCAATCAGGTGGGGGCTGGCAGTCACTGAGCATTGGCCTACGAGGAGGGTTTTTGGGACTTGAGCGGAATCCCATGTGGGCGGGCGGGGGACCTGCTTTCCCAGAGAGGAGAACTCCATGGTCCTTGGAGTCATGGGCAATAGTTGTGGTTTCGTGCATTGGCTCTGTCAAACTGCCTGAGTGATGATGTGACGGGGAGTTGGCGCTCATGGGTACATAGTTCTGGTCTACTTCCTCTGTGGATTGGCTTCCCACTGGCATCATTCCTTTGTTTTTCTGAGGGTGACATGGCATACACATATGTTCACAAATAAAAAGAGACACAGTGTAAGGCTCCCTGTATAGTGGAAAACTCAAATGATGTGGCAACAGCAAATCAATCAAGAATGAATCCAAAGAAACTACCAATACAAAAAATATGTATAGATAGGTGGTTTATGATGGTAGCCAGCATGTACTGCGCTACCAAATGCTGAAAATTGCAGGTAGATGCTCAGGAGCAGCAGCTAACATGTACTACCAATAAACCAGCAGCATAGCTAGCCTTAATATTTAAGCTTGCTAGCAAAAAGACTTAGTTAGTTAGTTAGTTAGTCTGCTGAGCATACAAAGCTGAAACAGAATCCAAATAATCATAACCACCGAAATAATCATTACAGTAGCTGAATGCAAACTATTATAAACTAAACTAAAATATTATTTAGTCTGTATCAAACAGTGCAATGAAAAAAATTGCTTTATCTGTTATGTCATCCGTCCTGCGTGTTTCTACTACCCCAATAAAGTGAAATGATGGCATGTTGCGTTGTTTTCATAGCCTGTAGGCTAATGTAGCCAGGACATGGTTCCATTGTTTCATCAGACACAAGTAGCCACTGTATTAAGCCACTTATTTGGCTGTGCATTTCAAGAATGTTATGCAATATTGTGCTTTGCACAAATGTTACTAACGGTTGACCAATGCTTTTTTTATTCCCTGGAAGATGAGGGAAATTGAGCACCACAACACCCCTAATATATTAGGCTTTTTTCCCTTCTTTGCTCTTCTTCCATTGCCTTAGAAGAGAGGATAGGGAGTGCAGAAAATTTCCATTTTCAGTCAATATTGGGTGCATTCGTACATGTTTTTGTCCTCCAATATGAAACAAGATTGTCAAAGATTCTGCAATCACGACATGAATGTTTCCCTTTAAGGTGTCAGCCTCTTCTAAATGCACAGCAAGGGATCAACAGTATAATGATCTTATTACTTACAAAGTAGCTGTTGAAGCTTTCATTGAAGTCAAACGAGCAGCTTTTGTCAAGAGGGGAATGATCTAGGAATGTCATAGCAGTCCTGGGATCCAAAATCTGCAAAAAAACACATATATATATATATATATATATATATATATATATATATATATATATATATATATATTATATATACTATATATATTATATATATATACAGTATATACAGTAATATATATAGTATATATATATGGCTGGCCTTGGAACGCCTCGGGATTCTCCCGGAAGAGCTGGTGGAAGTGGCTGGGGAGAGGGCTGTCTGGACCTCTTTGCTGAGGCTGCTGCCCCCGCGACCCGGATCCGGATGAGCGGGAGATAACGACGACGACAAAGGAAATGTCAAAGATTTTGTCTATAGAGAATTATGATTATATGTTTTGAGAAAATAGCCTTAATAGTTTTATATTGATAGTAAATAGCAAAGTAGCCTATCAAAAGTTAATACCAGTTGTTGAATATTTTTAATGATTGGTTGAAATAGTTTATGAAAATATTTATAGATATAATAGATAGGTAACTTATAGATACACGTTATTATAACAAAATTTTAAAAAATGGTCTAAAAATAAATTTACTAGATGGAACAAATAATGTATTCCTATGTGTATGTATATATACATATATATATATATATATATATATGATGTGTTTTTTGCAGATTTTGGATCCCAGGACTGCTATGACATTCCTAGATCATTCCCCTCTGACAAAAGCTGCTCGTTTGACTTCAATGAAAGCTTCAACAGCTACTTTGTAAGTAATAAGATCATTATACTGTTGATCCCTGCTGTGCATTTAGGAAGAGGCTGACACCTTAAAGGGAAACATTCATGTCGTGATTGCAGAATCTTTGACAATCTTGTTTCATATTGGAGACAAAACATGTACGAATGCACCCAATATTGACTGTGAAAATGGAAATTTTCTGCACTCCCTATCCTCTCTTCTAAGGCAATGGAAGAAGAGCAAAGAAGGGAAAAAAGCCTAATATATTAGGGGTGTTGTGTGCTCAATTTCCCTCATCTTCCAGGGAATAAAAAAGCATTGGTCAACCGTTAGTAACATTTGTGCAAAGCACAATATTGCATAACATTCTTGAAATGCACAGCCAAATAAGTGGCTTAATACAGTGGCTACTTGTGTCTGATGAAACAATGGAACCATGTCCTGGCTACATTAGCCTACAGGCTATGAAAACAACGCAACATGCCATCATTTCACTTTATTGGGGGTAGTAGAAACACGCAGGACGGATGACATAACAGATAAAGCAATTTTTTTCATTGCACTGTTTGATACAGACTAAATAATATTTTAGTTTAGTTTATAATAGTTTGCATTCAGCTACTGTAATGATTATTTCGGTGGTTATGATTATTGGATTCTGTTTCAGCTTGTATGCTCAGCAGACTAACTAACTAACTAACTAAGTCTTTTTGCTAGCAAGCTTAAATATTAAGGCTAGCTATGCTGCTGGTTTATTGGTAGTACATGTTAGCTGCTGCTCCTGAGCATCTACCTGCAATTTTTCAGCATTTTGGTAGCGCAGTACATGCTGGCTACCATCATAAACCACCTATCTATACATATTTTTTTGTATTGGTAGTTTCTTTGGATTCATTCTTGATTGATTTGCTGTTGCCACATCATTTGAGTTTTCCACTATACAGGGAGCCTTACACTGTGTCTCTTTTTATTTGTGAACATATGTGTATGCCATGTCACCCTCAGAAAAACAAAGGAATGATGCCAGTGGGAAGCCAATCCACAGAGGAAGTAGACCAGAACTATGTACCCATGAGCGCCAACTCCCCGTCACATCATCACTCAGGCAGTTTGACAGAGCCAATGCACGAACCCAACTATGTGCCCATGACTCCAAGCACCATGGAGTTCTCCTCTCTGGGAAAGCAGGTCCCCCCGCCCGCCCACATGGGATTCCGCTCAAGTCCCAAAACCCCTCCTCGTAGGCCAATGCTCAGTGACTGCCAGCCCCCACCTGTGGACCGAAATCTCAAACCTGATCGCAAAGGTGAGTGGATGATAGGTGTGCATGCATGTGTAGCTGTGACTTGGTTCGTCAATATTGTGACTAGATTTATCATGTTGGTGTTGCGGGTTTGATGTGTGTTGAAGTTTATTCTTGCATTTAACTTGCTTCAGTATGCTCAGTATTCACTAATGCAATGACAGTCCATCCTCTGTCTTAACACTCAGCTGCTACTCTCAGTGCTGGCTCATGGTCATAAATACATCATTTCCAACCATTTTCAAAGCAGCGTTTTTCTTTATCATACTTTAGTTGCCATTGTTAATGTGGAAGAAGGTTCTCTCTCATTTTGTCTCCTTTGGTTTGTCCGGTGTATTAAATACCAACCCCAATCTTCCTCTATGCCTGTCCTTGACCAGCTTATTTCACCTGTTGATGAATTAGTTTAGTGCCTGCTACATCTTCTTACATCCCACACAGTTAGCTCCTTGTCAAAAGCACTTTTGTCCCGAGCTCAAGAGGCCCTGTAGCCCATTTTGGAGGGGGCTGGTCTCTGTGCCATGGAGTGACCGAAGCCCGGAGTGGTCACCTCCATCCCCTTTGTTCCCATCATCTGAATGGAGCTCTTTGATGAAAGACCTAATAGCAAAGGGAATTGCAATCTGGGCAGATTGAAAGGCTGAGTAATGGGCAACGAGAGAATGGTAGTTGAAGAATGACAGGGAGACAGGGAGTCATCACAAAGGGAAACCAAAAGCCAGGGCTGTTATTGTCACTGAGGAAAATAGGACATGTTATGGAGTTTTACATTTCCCAGTGAGGAATCCTCCCATGCGTGACATGTGGGATTTTTTTCTGACCTTTTGAGTCAGTCAACTCCAAATTTGGCATGCATCATTGCTGGACTATCATGACTAAAAGTTATAAAAAGATTTTTATTACTCCAAATCATCTGACTGCTCTATTACAGGCCAACCAATTTTAGGGCATTGCTCATGTTTCACAAAAAGAGCCATAACTCAGAATGTTCAGTACTCATCAAGACTTCAGTGTACATTCACAGTCTAAAATATGGGATTATTTGGCGCAGGGGCCATTACAGTAGAGTACTTATAACGCTTAAATTCTGTATGATAATTAGTTTATTGTATGTGGTGTATTGGACCATTATTACAAAATGTATAAACTCGAGTTTAGCGGTATTGTGTATGCCCAGCTCTCTCTCATCTTTAAAAATTCAGCCTTTAAAAAACATAATTATTGGTACAATCTATGGGACAGATACCACTGTATTTCAGATTTAGGACCATAGCTCTTGAACTCTTACAAGTCTGTAATCTATCATTTCCAGAAAAGTATGAGTGTAAAAAAATATTGCCCATTTGTAGTTTGGGTCCTGTCATTTTTAGTTGTTCTCGCTATCTATCACTTGTTCTTTCTCAGTCATAGTTTCGGGATTTTTCTCCTTTCTTTGTTCACTTTTAAGTCACATCGATCACTATTCACCACAGTATTCATTTTACTGTCTTGATGATATTTGTTTTGGTTTTATTAGGACAACTAAGGGAAAGAAGAGTATTGCATCTATCGTGGCAATTTTCAGACAGTGTTGAAACATCTGCAAACACTCCTGTTCAGCTTTCTCTTCTGATGCTGTCACACTGATGTGTTTTTATGTTAAGTAACACCCTTTATAACTGATGATTTGAAAGGTGCTGTGTGATATTATTACAGTGTAGATTCAGCCATCAATCCAACTGCACCTGCCATTAGAAAATAGCACATAGACCGGCATAAAGCACAGTGAATTTCAAATATGGACAGAAATCTTTATGTATCTTAAGTATGATAATCAGACTGAAACTGAAGATAAGTAAACACTAATGAGTCACATCACTATTCAGAAGTATTAGTATCAGGTATTTATTGGTATATGTTATGTCTAAAGCAGAGAGTATGGATGAACATGTTTTAGAAATAAGTAGAATATCACATGCCTCTTTGATTCCTCTTTGTATATTGTTAATGTCTTTATTCTCCATGAGCCATGCAAAATTCATCTCTACTGGACTAATTCTACTCACTACCAACTTCACTCGTCTTTTGTGCGCTGTATGTTGTGAAGGCTTTGACATCTTAGTGGTCTGTGCTAGTCAATGGGTTTCATTTTATTAACACTATTTGTGATTCCATTTAAACTAATTTTCTTAGTTTGAGATTGTGGCACATTTAGGCTCTTGTCAGCACTGCAGAAAAATGTTGTGATCAGTGTGTTAGTGTAAAATGAGATATGTGCCTCATCAGTAAGTTACTCTGTTCTACAGATTTGTTTGTGCTCTTCTCAACATGACATGATTTCTCTCAGTGCTTATACACTACTCATCGTGCATGCACAGCTGTGATGTCAGTCTTTGTGTGGGAAGCCGTGGTGCATGGAGTGAGGTGCATGTTGGGCAGTATGGGTCTGCTGTTGTCATGACAATCATCCTCTTGATAACTGTGCTGCACAAAAAGGTGACTGGGTGTACATGAGGGTGTAGTTTTGTTGTTCAGAAAAGTCTCGTCTTTTGCTTTGCATGGCAGAGCGGTTCTTACAGTAGGGCTTAACTGTTGTGATCACCAAAAATTTTATAATAAGCAAAGTCTTCTTTCACCAATCAGGTCAGAGTCCTAAAATAATAAGAGCAAAAGGTGTCGGTTTAGAGCGAACCGACTCTCAAACCGTAGGTGAATTCCCAAGGGGACGACGCAAGGGTAGGTACTCCACACTGAACTGAAAACTTTTCATTCTTTGACCTGTCCAAACTCTACTTCATCTCAACTCTTTGCATGTTGTAAACAGTGTACTTTGGGATTTCTCTTGTTTCTCAGGCCTGTTGGTTCTATAAGAGATTAACTGTGTGCACCAGAATCAGTTAAAATGCACTTTAGTATGTACTATTTGTGAAGAGCATCTCCATCCAGAGGTACCCAAGTAGGTTTATAAAATATTAAATGGAGTCTTAAAGTCCTAAATCCCAGCGGGGGTGGATGGGTGTGCACTTCACGCATGGTGGACTGCAGATGTTAGTTTTGGAGCTCATGAGCAGTTGCAACATACCTTTACAACTTAACCGTTAGTGCCACATCCCCTCACTCTGATGTGACTTCTTATATGCAGTCAACCAAATGCCATAATTTACTGACATTTCTTTTCCCAAACATTTCTTTTAATGTTTTTTGTTTGCAGTTGAACATATTGTGCTTCCAGAACACACACTCAGATGTAGCAGCCACAACAGGATTATTGTCATAAAAACACTCACATGGGCTCTGGAAAGTAGTAGATAGCTTGTCAGGAGGAAATTGAACAGTGATATCATCTTATGAAAGAGAGACTCACATAAATAACCATATCCACTCTCCTGCTTGGGAACACACAGCCTGTACAGGCAGCGGCTGCCTTCTGCATAAAGTATGTAGTTTACGATGTTTAAGTCCAACTCCTGTGACAGAAGCCATGGTTAATGAGCATTTATGGTGAACATCTATTGTGAGGTCTTTTATTACACACACAATTTTGCATGGTTGTATAGAAGGACCAATGTTTTCATCAGATTGGTTCAATATAGATTTAATATCATCACACATGCAAAAGTTGTTGTCCTGCGCCAGAAGTTTCACCAGCATTTACTCCCATGAGAAATATATTTTTCCACATGGGTTTACTCAGAGGCAGCTGGAATAATGAGGTTGTAAAATATAGCCTACATAATCTTTATTATAAATAATAGTAAACTAAAAATAAAAAAGTTTCCCTAGTTAAAAACATAAAAATTCAAATACACATTTCCTTTCCCCAATGAAAAAATCGCGAAATTTAATGTAAAAATGTAGTATGTAAATATTTCTAATTTCAAAATAAAGCGTTCTGCATATTGAACCTCTAAAATCCAAGTAAAGTAACAATAAGCTACTGTAAAAAAAATTTTATAAAATGAACTGTAGAATTTACCAACCTCGCAGTTGTTGCTCCGCCGCCAAGATAGTTTCAGGTTACCTCCTGTTTTATCCAGAGTCATAATACGACATTAAACCATGTGTGAAATTTTGTCATAATTGCTTTGTCACACTGATTCTGACCTTTGACCTTTTTTTACCCACCAGCATCTAATCAGTTCACCCTTGAGTTCAATTGAACGTTTTCAACCAATTTAGGAAATGTCCCTCAAGGCGTACGAGAGATGATTGGCTTTCACAGGCCAAACCCGGGTTTATGTGAGGTCAATGTGACCTTGACCTTTGACCTTTGACAGCTAAAATCAAATGGTTTCATCTTGATGTTTAGCGTAAACATTTTGTGCCAAATCTGAAGAAGTTCCGTCGAGGTGTTCACTGGGATATTCCCGTCGCACGAGAATGGGAACTTGACGGACAAACCGCTGAAAACAATAGTTGCCTTCCGGTGCTGAACTGTCGGCGGTGTGGGAATGGAATAAAAAGTCTACGAAACTTGAATCCCTTAAAATGCACTTGTATTACTTATTTATTGCTGGAGTTTTCTTGATGCATATTAAATTGATAAATTCATTGATACATTTATGGACTTGTTATGATATTAAAGCATTGTTTAGTGGATTATCTGTGCAGTTTATAGAGATTGAATAGTTTTATAATCTGTTCTATATTGTTAATGTCCACTCACCTGGCCTAAAATTATTATCGTCCATTGAAAGTTATATACTGTTGAGTTATTGTTTGAAGCTGTTGTAGTAATCAACAGGAAACACCCTCTTATATAGATGCAATAAAGTTCTCAACAGGCGCCACGAAACTAATCCTGCCATAAGGATGAGTGTTGTATCATAAGCATCTCTTTAAAAACTGTTTTCAACTAAAACTGAACCTTATAACCTTCATGACGGGAGGATGTTTAATGGCAGGATTGTTTATTTAAAAGGTGTCAAGTGTGTATGGAAAACATATCTGCTGCAGTGTATCCCACAGCAGAACAATTAGGCAGGTAGCAAGGGAGGAAGGAAGAGGAGGTGAACAGAGCCTTGCAGGCTGTAAAACCACAATGGTAACATCTCACTTGAGTTGCGTGTTTGCACTGAGTAGGTGGGGAACTGTCACCCAAACCTCTAGGGGTTTTGACCTTTTTACTGTGAATTCATATGAAAAATAATTCAAATCTCTAAAACCTCAACGCAACTTTGAATCACCTGGAAGATTTAGTACAAAGAGGATCCACGTCAAACATGCGCAAACGTCATTTTCCATTATTACAAGATCCAGACATTGACAGAGTGCGAGATTTATACTTACAGAGAGATATTGCACACCAGACACAGAGGCATGGTAGACTTTAATGTGGAGGTGCAGTCGGTGAAGTGGGCATCCCTGCTGTTGGCTTATACCTGATGGAAAAAGAAATTTCCTCCTGATTGTTTTCTGTTGAACAGAAAAAAAAACATTAAAAAATGCATTCAAAAAAAACCACTAATCTACATTACATTATCTCAGTGCCTTGAACACCTTTCAGCTCACAGCACATTGCTATCTCAACCAATCAGTACACTCTCATTTGTTTGTGGTGAAGCAGTCTGCCTGGGATTCTGGGCTCCTGACCAGAGAACAGAGGCAGGTAAAACTCTTGTGAAACTCTTTTCACCAGCAGAATTTACTAACTTGTTCCCTTTGTGGCCAATTCAACAGATATGTACAATCTAGTATATATGAGAGTGTCATGCAAATTCATTATTGGTTTCACACTAAATCTTAGCAGAAAGGGCCGAAAAGGGGTCTGTGTGTTTTCCTGAACATGGCTTTCTGTGGGTCTGGTGTGGTTTTGTATTGGGACAACAATCAGAACTACTATAATGCTGGCACAAGGTACTGATCTCAAAAGCAGTGCTCAGCATAACTGAGCCATGCAACACCCAACTAAATGGCTTTACCAGCATTTTAACATTGGTTTTTTTGAAACTTAGGGATTCGGGAAACAGGATTAGTTCCTAGGAAAACACTTAAAACACCATTTTCGCAGTTTGATAAGACAGACATAGTTGATACTTTTGCACCATGTCAATTATTGGAGACTGTCCTGTAAAAAAAAACTATTGTCTAGGTAGGCCATGCCGCTCCGTACAGGTCCATGTGTTTATTATTGTAACTGTGACATCCAGGTCCGGTACGGGGTTGGAGGAAGTTGTTGTAATATTGTGTATTAAAAACTTAAACAGTAGCTGGAAATCTTTGTGTTGTGCCTGACTCTAGTGCTTGGTAAATTGCAGCTTGCTGGCATAGCATACATTAACTCAAGGCACCATTACAAGAGTAACATCAACACTTGCAATATTATAGAGTAGACTCAACACTCCCTCCATGAGCAAGTACTTGTTAACAGTGGAAAGGAACAGTGTTGTAGTCTTGTGTGGTAATCTTTTGTAATAAAACACAGCATTCGATTAATGTTGATGATAGCATGTGCAAACAGTTGGAAGCTTTGAAGCTTCAATGGCAATTCAGGTCAGCCCTACCTTACAGTGAACTGGAGTTGGGGTAATGCATCCAAAGTAACTGTATGATTAAATCATTTTTTTTCTCGTGAGGTGTTTAGGGTCAAGTGTAATAAACTTTAATTTTGTATGAATCTAGAAGTAAAACATTACAGTCATCCAGGCCTTAAATGTCTTTAAGAATGGCTTGAAGTTCACCTACCTGGTTTATTTTCATCTGGCTTCACCAGATAACTACAGGTGGGTGTCATCTTCAAACGAAGTTTGGAATTTATGTGGTGCTTCCTGGTAATGATTGCCTAAAAGAGCACTTTAGGGTGAAAAGTTATAGTCGTAGCAACAGAACCCTGGTGGAACTCCATGGTTTATCGTTTCTGTGCATGGAAGAGTGATTATTAACAATGAAACAGAACTGGAATCTATCTGATAAGTATGATTTTAACGCAGCCTTGTGTGGTTCCTTTAATGGCCAATGACATGTTCCCAGTTTCTTTTCTAATAAAATCTTGTGATGCGATGGTGGTAGAAACATAGCATAGAGATGTTATAAGACAAGGATAAAGACGAGTCATTGTCTGAGGCCACGAAGAAGATTTTAGTAACTTTCATCAGGAGCTGCTTCTGTGCCTATGGTGGCCTCTAAATCCCTGACTGAAAATCTCTTGCAAACAAACCACTTTCCGTATGCATAATAAATGCATAGTTTGGTTTTGCAACAGCTTTGGTCAAGGATTTAGGAAATAAAGGGAAAAATTTTATTATCTGGGTCAAGACTAGGCTTTGTTAGTTAGAGGTTTTAATACTGCAAAACTTAAAAGATAAATTTATCAGATCAAATAATGGAGTGATAATTAAAGGTAAAACATTCCTTGAACAGCCTCAGTAGGGAGGGTCTAGTGACAAGTTTGATGGTTTAGATGAAGAAACTGTTGAAGTTAGCTCAGAGAGAAGCCATACTAAATATAAATACAGATGATTCCTTCAGCTTTTTCTTGTCCATGTGCTGCATAATAGAGTCTTTAAGTGTTTCTTAAAAGTTCTTGGAAAAAGTAAACATTTCAAGCGCGGTTTGTAGAGGACTCAGACTGGGGCCTCCGGCCTTTGGTTAAAGCTGCAGTTTGTATTTTTTCTCGCTGCCAACAATCAGTCAGACTGTTCTTTACTCTAATTACGACCACTTTCTCTGGAAGGAAATAAAGACCACCAACACCCTATCACCAAAAAGATTTTGGAAGCCTAAAACGTTTTCCTCCC